TTAGTATTTAAATTCGTGGATGAATTTTTTTAAGGATGGGAGAATGTAATATTTGTATAAAAAAAAAAAAAACAAAGTTTGGCCGAGAGTCGGCCGAACAACCTAGAAGAGGAATTGCTCCAATAAGAGCCTTCCAGCTAAAACTAATTTTAAAACTTGATATATATACAAGAGATGATTCTGGAAAAGTGATCCATTGAAATTTTAAGTGAGAAATAAGGAGGAAAAGAGAGCTAGAAGCATTGCCGCACCGACAGTAAATTCGGAAAAAATGTGAGTGATTGATTGAATCTTTTCGATTAAAACATTGCTGTGGTGTTCGGAAATCACGGGAAATTGATTTCAGAAGTTGCAAAAGCTCGGGTAAGTGATTGGGGTTATTTAATTTAGCTCAGGGCATTCGAGTTTGGGGAAATGGCAGAACCGGGTGTTCACCCAGGTTTTCGGGTAATAGAGAAGAGACCCAGACACTGTCCGGGTCTGACCAGCCCTTTGATCGGTCCGGTCCAGCCTTGTTGGGCTGGAACCGATCAGTTCAGGGGTTTTCTGAACCCCAATCCGGGAACCAAGCCTGGTTCCAGGTTCAATGAGGGGAAAGGAATATTTTGGGGTTGGTTTCAGACACTGAACCATCCTGGTTCAGGGGGTTTTAAGGGAAAAAGTGTTAAATCGGGCCTTTTTTTGGGAAATTAGGCCGGTTCAGGGGTTTTAGGGCCTCGGTTTAGTGGGTTTTCGCGGGAATTTGGACCGGTTCAGTCCGGTTCTCGGTGGTTAAGGGTCGATCCTTCATAAGTTAAGAGGGGTTAAACCCGGTTTATCTCGGTTTAGGTGTTTTGTGAGCCGATTTGGCTTCAGTTTATGAGAAATGAGTTCGGTTCGACCCAGTTTAGCAGGGTTTTGGTCGATTTTAGTTCAGGTTTTGATAAATTAAGGTTAGTTTTGGTTTGGTTATAAGGTTCGGGAAATCCGGTCCAAGCTCAGTTCATGTTTTTGGGATTCGGTTCATTTGGTTTACGAAGCTTGTCAACAATGCCATGTAGTATTAGTTTGAGTATAAAATGAGTAAATTAGCGGCGTTCCGAGGAGGTTCTCGGGTTGCGTGTCGAGGGCCTAGGCGAGGGGTTAAGTCTCGAGCCGTTTTTGATAAATTGGAATTATTTGTTTAGAAGAAAATTTCGGTTCCGTTACTGACGTACGTGCCGTTTATTGTAAATACTCCGGAGGAGACTTGCACCGATCAGTGAGCCGTCTGTTTGAGTTTGGCATTCGATTTTGACGTGTCTTGTGAGTACCAGTACTTTCTTATGCATGTGACTATGCTTTGATTTCCTGCTATATTTGCTACAGTATTTTTTATATTATGATATAAAATGAGAGACATGCATCCTATATTTTCTTTGTGCGAGAAATGTAAAATTTATTTGTTGAATTTAAATTGGACTCTGCCTCTAGGTGATATACATATGTGTTCTGATAAACTACACTGTCGGGAGTTTTCTGTGATTCTGATATGTGATTCTAGTTCTGACTCTGGCACGGGATTCCAGTGTGACATATGTGACATGTGACTCTGGCTCTGATTCTGGGATGCCAGGGGCTTTGCTGTCAGGCGGTTGGCCACCGTCGCACAGGAAGCGCCCTGGGTCCATCTGTGACTCTGATTTTGATTTTGGGATGCCAGGGGTTCAGTCGGCAGACGGTTGGCCGCCGTATTGTACGGGGAGTGCCCTGAGCCTAGACAGTTGGCCGTCGTAGCGTGCGAGGAGCGCCCTGGTCAGATATGAGATATGTGATTCTGATTTTGGTATGGGATCCCAGTACATTATATGCTACGCGATCTGTTCTGATACTCCGACAGCTGTTTATTTTGTTTTTTGACTATGTTACCAGAGGCTATTATGTTTTGACAGATGAGAGGATTATATATGTATTTCTGATGATACTTTGTTTAAATGTTGTGATGCATGTCACCGCCTGTTTAGGATAATTCTGGCATTCACTGAGTTTATACTCGCCCCGTTTTTCCCCATTTTTCAGATTTCTGTTCTATTCGGCCACAGTTGCTTCTGGACCGTGTTTGTCTGCCACTACTTTTATTGATGTACGGGTACGCTTGTATATTTTAGTTTGTTGTTGTATTCTAGAAGCTCTATGTATCACTCAGTTGTTCTTGACACATTTTTGTACGGACAACATTCTGTTATGATATTTTGATTCCGTTCTGGTTATATATAAATTTTCCTGTCTTTTCTGTTCTGTTTCGTGGCTTACTAGTATTGTAACCCAATCCTGGTACCAGTCATACTCCCGGGTTGGGGTGTGATAGATTATCATTATTTGTCACTATTTCTACTATTTGGGTTGAGAAAAAAAGAAGAATTTATATTATGAATCTAAAAATATAATTAATTATTATTTTTTATAAATCAAATCTTAAATTAAATGTACAAAACTTCGAAATTCTTAGTTATAAGAAAACACCATTCAAAAAGTCTAGCATTTTTTTATAAATTAAATTCATTTCTAAAATCTACTATGTCTTTGAAAAATTATAAATATTTTCTATTTTTTAATAATAAATTTATACATATGAAGTGCTTAAAAAATGGGTGAAAATTAGATAAAAAGACTATTCCGGAGTATATATTAAATTTGATATATATAAATATTATATTTTTAATTTAAAAAACTAATAAAACACTAAAATTTAAGAACCAAAAGTAAAATTTACCTTTTTAGATATTATTGTAATGCTATATAAGAATTGATTTTAACTAAAAACATACAAAAGTATCTTTACTAGGTAATAAAATATGTAATTTTTAAGAGCCGGCCTTTTATAGATAATAAATTGCTTCTTTGTAGTTTACAGGTCATGACTTCTAATAGTGAATAATTTTTAACTAAATCAACTATGAGAACACTTCAGGTGTTCAAAACTAATTTAAATTGATTGGATCGTCTTAAACTAAAATAAATTGACTAAAAAAACTACTGAAATAAATTGATTTAATTTGGTTTATGGAATTATTGAATCAATTGAATTGGTTTGATTCAGTTAAATTTTTGTTTTATACCAAAAAACCAAATCAAACTAAATTGATTAATTTTGATTTTATTTATTTAATATATATATCATTTTTCTAATATTTTTCAATAAACCCATTAATTTATACTTGTTTTCAATTTCTCTCTTAGTAGGTACAAATTTAATACCAAAATTAAATCTCATATTTAATTTTATTTTCTTTTATTTTTGTTTTGAAAAAAACATGTGCTTTGTTTTTTTTTAAAGAAAATATGTATAAAACTGATCAGGTTAACCAAACCAAACTGACTTAAATCATGTCTAGTTTGGTTCATTTTTTGATATATAGAAAACTGCCATGTCTAAATAAATCCAAAACCAACATATTTAGTTTGGTTTGGATAATGTTCAAAATTGAACCGAACCAATGAATACCCCTGAAAAACTCTACTTGTTTATTAATCACATTTTTAGTAGAAATTTGAGAAAAAAAGGATTTTTGCTAATTTTTTGTTCCTCTTTCACAAATTTCTTGTTTTTTAATCTTGTTATCTTAGTATGAGACAGAGATAGGCCCATTTTAACAATTGATTAATGAATAAAAAATAAAAAATAATAAATAAATTATTTCAACTAAAAATCTTATCTTGGGTATTACTTGTTATAAATATTTGACATCTATCTCTCAACTAGGATAAGATAAAAATTGTCATGAGTTGTGGTTGAATATACTTTCAATGAAATATGCAATTCCCTTTTTTTTAAAAATGCAATTCTAACAAGAATGACTTTAAGAATTAGCAAAGGCCAAATTCTTTCTTCTTTTTTATTTTATTTCTTTTTCTTATCAACCACAATGTGCAACCACTAAAATAGAAAAAGTATTCTCAGAGATTATAAATCACTTAGGCACGGACACGCACGCAACACCTAACCCAAAGTGAAAGAAAACAGGAGCAATCCAGTCCCAAGATAACCCCCCAAGAGGGTGTTAAGTTGTGAAGGATTACGTGTGGCCAGCCTTTACGTATACAATTAATTAAACATAGTTGAATAGTAACTTCAAACTTCAAATATGTTAATTAAACACTATTGAATTCTAACTTCAAACTTCAAACTTCAAATATTTAATGTCAGCATAATGGTCTCTTGATTAAAAAAATCAATATTATATCCTTTCATTATGCACAACTGGCGACAGTAAAGTTGACAGCGACGATTAGAAGGCAATTTATGGTGGTTGTTGACACTGGACAATGGTTGTGGTGTAGGTGACAACGTCTAGGTGACATTTGATACCGGTGGTTGGATTAGTTAATAGAGTTGAGAACAACTAGAGTCATGGCTGTAGAATATCTATTAGAGTGTTATGGATTTTGGGGTTAAAAGACTAAAATCATGTGGCTTAAGTTGTGGACCAAACAAATAAAAATTTTAAACCTTTAACTCTAAATCATAATCATAACTCCAAATCTGTGTCATCAATCCTGGTTGAACTACAATAAAAGCCTCTTTCGTCTTTTAACGCAAAGTGAAAGAACCCAGAATACAATCCAGCCACAAGAATACCCCAAGAAAGAGTGTCTCAAGTTGTGAAGGGTTACAAGTGGCCAATAAATAATATCCCTTCCATCAGCTTTTACCTATACAATTAATTAAACAGTGTTGAATACTATCTTCAAACTTAACAGTCGTGACATCAGCACAATGGCCTCTTAACTAAAAAATTAATATTATATTTGAAATCTCAAGGAGCTACGATCATATAATCTATTTTAGTATTGTTTTAAAAGGGGCAGAAACAAAAGTAGGTTTTGACCCATTGACTAAAGATTTTAATATGAATTGGCGGGCACCCAAGTCATCCTCTTATGGCTTAAAATAATATCCCTACCGTCAGCCCTGCATATTGCCTGAGTAATGAATCTCCATTGACAACTATAAATTCACTCCAAATGAGAAGCTTTTTCAGATCAATTGGTCCATTTGTTTTGGAATGGAAGAAGTGAAGTTGCTAGGATTTTGGCCGAGCCCGTATGTCTGTAGGGTGAAATGGGCACTCCAAATGAAAGGTGTAGATTACGAGTACATAGAAGAACATCTTCCAAACAAGAGTCCCCTGCTTTTGCAGTACAACCCTGTTCACAAGAAGGTGCCTGTTCTTGTTCATGGAGAAACTCGATCTCCGAGTCCACTGTTATCCTTGAATATATCGAGCAGACATGGCCGGAGAAGCCCTTGTTGCCGGGAAATCCTTATGAGATGGCGGAGGCGCGGTTTTGGACTAAATTTGCAGATGACAAGGTAAGCACTTGGATAAATTTGTAACGTTGTTTAGTTAAGGTTTTTGCTTTTGGATGGACATGACAGGGGATTGGTTTAACGTCGCTAAATAGCCATAGAACTGATTGAAGGGACCCGATTCATTTAATTCCCTCGTGGCATGTTGGTTTGAGAGGATGGAGGGAATGGATTTTTAATCTAATCCATTGGTTGTTCAGTAAAGAAAGGGGAGGGTGGGGTGATGCTGGGATTACATATCTATATCTCACCCTCGAGGACAATTTATTCATAAACAAGTACAGTTTAGGCTCCTACTTTTTTGTAATTTTAATTGAAATATATTTAATTTCTAAATTTTTTTAAAGTGTAATATATTTAATTTAAAAAATCATAATTTTTGTATCTATTATTATTAAAATTTGTACTCTGTAACGAAATATCAAATAAAATAAAATCTGTACTTTGTATGAAATACTAAGTGTAAAAATAAAATCATATAAAATATATATAGATTTGCTGTGATACAAAAAACATAAATTTTATTACTTATAGATGACAATTATTTGAGTTGATAAATAATAGTTTTATGAGCTAATAAATGTACGGAAATTTTTATTGACTTAAATAATAGGCAATGAGATAGTGGGTTTTCTATAATTGTAAAAATTAATATTTCATAAATTATTGACAGTAATAAACCAAAATTTTGGGGAAAAAATAAGAGTATTGAACTGATTTAAGGAAAAAGAATTAAGATTTTTATCTTAAAACTTAACCATAAATAACATTTCTAAAATTTGGCAATTAAGTTAAAGCTAAAAACTAGAAAACCAAAAGAGAATTTGAATGAAACTAAGGCGACCAAACGTATAAACTACAGTTACACTACCCTCTGTTCTTCCCATTTTCTGTGTGTTCTATTAACTTCTTTTCACTGCTTCCAACTTCAGCTTCCATCCGTATGGAAAGCTGAACAGAACAGCAGGGGAAGAACTGGAGAAAGCTATGACAGAGAGCTTGGAGATGCTAAGGGCTGCGGAGGAATACGGCATCAAGGGGCGAAAATTCTTCGGCGGAGAGGAGATAGGAATGGCAGACATAGCCTTTGGAGGGATTGCTCTGTGTTTAGAAGTGATAGAAGAAGTTATAGGAGTGAAGCTACTTCAAGAGCAAACATTTCCTTGCCTGTATGCCTGGACCAAAGTCTTCATGGAGTTGCCCGTGATCAAGGAGAACCTTCCCAATAGAGACGATCTTTTCGCCCTTCTCAATCGCTCCAGGCAGAAATTGCTGGCATCTTCGTGAGATCTTTCTTTCTTCTTCATTCGCGTGTGTTTTTGTTCTGAAATTATTAAGCACAGCTGTTGGACTAGCACAGTATATTTTTAGTTTGGGACAGTATACTATTAGGTAGAAATCTATATATGTATTAAAACTGATCTTTTTTTTTTTTGACAACTTATTATGAAATTGTTATTTATCTCCAATAGTTGTTATCCCTGAGAAATATATATGTTTTTTGTATTATATCAAATTTATATATAGAAGAAGGACCAATTCATATTAGTATAAGTGCAAAACATCTACATCACATCTTATACCGTTTATTTAATCAAAATCAACGAATGATATTAATTTCATCTGTTAGAAGTTGTTGAAAATCATCCGTTAGAAATTGTTGAAAATTAATATTAATTAATGTTATTTGTTGGTTTTGATTAAAGTAAATGGTGTGAAACATGCTGTAAATGTCATGCACTTACAATAAGTGTCAATTAATCTTTCCTTTTATATATATTCTATATATAAGTATATTTTATATATTTAATATCTATACAAAGCATGACCTAATCCAAGCCAGCTTTACCATAAAATAGGTAAAATAATTGTTTTAAAAGCCCAAATATTTTAAGAGAATTTATACAAATAAAAGATATAATTCCAATTGACATGCTTATATAAAAGATTTTTGGTTTTGAGGCTTAAAAAAAAAAACTATAATGAGAGCACCTGGGACTCATTTGGAGCCCTCAACCCGAGGCTATTGCTTTTAGGATAAATTAAAAATTTAAACGTGATAAAAAAAAATTATATATAGCAACATAGTTGAGGTTAGTAAAGATTTTAACAAAAATCTTACTTTAATTTAATTAGCGTTTGTATATATATTGTACACAAAATATTAAATGACAATTATTTGGTAAGACAAATAAGTAGAAGTGGCAAAATGGCCGAGGCTGACGGGCTGGCCTGAATAGCCCAATGAATGGACTGGGCTAAGTTGGGTTGAGTTAGTAAAATATAGGCCCGATTGTTCATGGCTCGGCCCAACCTAGACTGAAAATAGATTGGGCCAAAACGGGCCAGCCCATGATGGGTCGAGCCAGCCCGTAGGCCCTAATAAATTTAATATTATTCTTTTTTCTAGGCTTTTTAGTGCATTTAAATTTAATAAATTAATATTAATAATATATTTTTAATGTTATTTTTAATAAAAATTGAATTTTAATAAAAAAATATATTTTCATTTATCATGTTTATATTATATTATGTGAATTATAAATTAAAATAAGAACAAAAAAAATGAGCCAAGGTGCCTTTTATATAAATTTACATAATTTAAACTAAACTTCAACCTCTTCTATTTGAATCTTTCTATAATTTTCTACTAAATATTTATTAAAATAAAAATAAAATAAAGATTATAAAACTTGTAAAATTTTATATTGTCAAAATTATTACTACAATTTACAAAAAATTAATAGTAACAAATACTTTATCATTCTATTTATTTTATTTTTAAATTGTTTGAACTAATTAAATTATAAAATTTTATATTATTATAATATTTTTTCAAAATTTGAAAATTTTTTCGAGCTAATTGACTGGCCGGGCCAGCCCAAGCCGATATACAGCCGGGCTGGGCCAGTTAAATACTGGCCGAAACATTTCAGACCGGCCCAGTCAGCCCAAAAATCCTCATGGCTCGCATGAGCCAGCCCGAATGGATCCGCTGGCCCAAATGACACCCCCGCGCCTGAATGGATCGGCTGGCCCAAATTAAAACCCATAGCAGTTGAATAAATGGACTGGCCGGGCCAGCCATACAGACAAATATCAATTCAATTATATATATATATATATATATAGAGAGAGAGAGAGAGAGAGGGGGGGGGGTGTTACGACGAAAGAATGGCGGAAATAGAACAGTCAAATAAGACGGCTCAAGTGATCCGAACACAACTTTAACAACCTACCAAAAGAAAGTCAAATCAAGTTCCCTTCCAATTGCTTTCAAGAAAAAGAGAGTAAACTAGTCATTGATTATCAGCTAACAAATGGGAGAGGTGAAGCTACACGGGTTCTGGGCAAGCCCTTTTAGCCACAGAGTGATATGGGCTCTGAAACTGAAGGGTGTGGAGTATGAGTACATGGAAGAAGACCTCTCCAACAAGAGTCAACTGCTATTACAGTACAACCCAGCTCACAAGAAGATTCCTGTGCTCGTTCATCGGAACAAACCCGTCGCTGAGTCGCTTGTAATCCTCGAATACATCGAAGAAACATGGCCGGAGAATCCTCTGCTGCCGCTAGATGCATGCGACAGAGCCATGGCCAGGTTTTGGATCAATTTTGGTGAACAGAAGGTATCGGAATCTTGCAATTCTTTTGTCTAACCTCTTTTAAATAGTTGGATTTTCTGGATCTGGGTTTTTCATTTCTCTTGATGCCAATATCTGCACACGTAATTTGCAAGACAAAAATAACAAGAAATTTCTACTGTTGGATATCCCTGAAAAATAATTACTTGAAGATCAAACCTTATTTTAGAATCTCATATCAAAACAGGCCCTTAATTATTCCCTTCTCTGTGCATTCATGATTTTCCCATATATAGTCTCATAATAATAGGAATAAGAATAGGTATTCTTTTGGAGTAATCCTCACCTGGGTTTGATTTTGGGAATCAAAATTTTTTCCAGATTATATCTCTAAATTACTCTTGTACCCTCCATGTCATGTGTCATATTTTTATTTATTGAACACTCAAATTTTGGCTACAACAATTTCATAAGTTACAAAGAACTAATTAAAAGAATGTCAATTATAAGAAATCCAAAAGTTAAATTATTTTTGTTTTACTGCTCTGTTTTTCCCCATGTCAGGAAGAGTTAGCTTGTGATTCAGCTAAATGGTAAAACTAAAGCTTTAAAAATTTAAACTTCTTTTTCATAAAGATCTTATCTCACCTTTAAATTGCACCAAATTATAACCATTCTATTTATTACAATCCCAAGTCCCGGCCTCAATGTTCTACCCCATTCTTTTAGGGCCCTGTCTTCTTCAATTTGTTCAGAACAACAGGAGAGGCACAAGAGAAAACAGGGAAGAAGTAGCTCAAATTCTCAAGACCATAGAGGAGAAAGCCCTTGGAGATAACAACTTCTTTGGAGGCAACACACTGGGACTAGTGGACTTATCATTTGGATGGCTCCCTCATTGGTTTGAAGTGACGGAGCAAGTGCAGGCACGAAGCTACTGGATCCGACTACTCTGCCGCGTCCTTCATGCCTGGGCTCAAAACTTCAAGCAAGTTCCTGTGATAAGAGATAACCTTCCTGATCCACAAAAATTATCTGCTCATTTGAAGCGCCTCAGAGGGAATCTACTTAAAAATTAGAGGTTACAATTGGAGAATTGAGAATAGATTTAAACCAATTTTTACAAGCTGGTGACAGAACCAATATTCATATCGTTACAGATTGATGATGGATCTAATCACTAGTTCAATCTGTTGATCTATGTAATCATTAGTTGAATCTGTGTGACATTGTAAATAATTTAATATAAATATATATTTATATATTATTATAAATAATGTGAAAAATAAAAATACAAAAATAAGAATAGAAATTTAAAAATTAATAATTTGTTCCAATATAAGTAATTATAAATTTTACATTCAAAACTTATTTGGTGTATATATTTTTTCTAGAAAAAAAATTAATCAAATCAGTGAACTAATTTTTTTTTCAATATTTTTAATTTTTGACCAATTTTTACTAATTTAATATTTAAATATTTTTTTGATTAAAAAACTTGCTAGATTCAAATTCAATTGTTTAACACTACTGATGTAGTCCAGTTTTCAAAACACGTGCTCGTTTAGATGTTAATTGTGAGAATTTGATTATGAGTTAAATTTTGTAATTATGTTTTAAATTAAAATTTTTTGAATCGTATGATTTTGAAAAATTGTTTGAATGATAATATTTATTTTGGTGATGGTTGGTGATACTGACTCATAGCAGTGACGACCAATGAGTAGTGGTATTGGTGGGTGACCATTGGTTGGTGACAGTAATGGTGACCGGTGACAATGGTGGGTGGTGATTGTGACTAGTGGCAGCAATGGCCAGTGGTAGTAGGTTGGTGACTGAAAAAATAGAGTTGTAACCTTATAAATTTAACTTCAAATTTTTGGATTTTAAAATTAATAATTTTAATTACGTGATGTGAATCATAAGTTAAGTAAATAATTTTTAAAAAATTTAATTTCAAATCAGAATCACCACTCTAATAAGATGCGAAGCAAACAAAGCCAGATTAAGCTTTTATTTGTTCATTATCTGGTAAGTGTACGGGCTTAAAATTTTGGCTTCACTTCCTGCAGATTGCTTTTCTGAACCAAAAAAACTTGCCACAGGGTCAACGGAGATTTAGCAATCAAACGATGGCAAAGGGCTGTCAGACATAGAAGGAGGGTATTGGTGACAACGACAGAGGGCCGTCAGACGGCAGTCTTCCCACAAACACCAGCTCATTGGATCATCTGGTTTTATTCCATCAACGACTCAGAAGAGGGAAGTCGTCTCTCTTAAGCTACAATTAGGGAAGAAATAGAGTATCGATCAAGGGGTAAACTAGAAATTAGAAAGGAAAAGAGTAATGACAAAATTGCCAATTTGACTTCAATACAGCTTCTACGTGTTCACGAAAATGCCAACCACTGCCAAAAGAGGGCCCATCCCTCAACCAGAATCAAATTTAGGAACACTACAATATGATAAAAAAAA